TTCATTGCAATCTGTGTCTCAAACAGGGTACTTTATTTCTACTCCCAGCAAAGCCTTATTTGGCTGAATGCAGGGCTTTGCACAGTAGCTACCTATGCCACTGTCCTATAGCCTTCATAAGACTATATTCCCAGATGTAAACAGGTACAGTGAAGGAAATATGTTTTTGATCCCCTACTGATTTTGAATGTTTGCCCAATCACAAAGAAATCTAAAAATCGAATGGTAAGTGTACTGTAACAGACAGAATAGCAACAAAAATTTCAAAAGAAATGCATGTCTAACAAATTATGCACTGATTTGCATGTTCATGAGGGAAATAAGTATTTGATGCCCTATCATTCAGCAGGAGTTCTGGCTACCAGGTGTCTTTCATACTGGCAACAAGCTGAGATCACAAGCAGTCTCTTAAAGGGAGTGCTGCTGATCTCATTTTTTGTTACCTGTATAAAAGACACCTGTCCACAGGAGCAATCAGATTCCAAACTCTCCATCATGGTAAAGACCAAAGAGCTGTCCAAGGATGTCAGGGACAAGATTGTAGACCTACACAAGGCTGGACTGGGCTACAAAACTAGCACCAAGCAGCTTGGTGAGAAGGTGACAACAGTTGGTACAATCATTTGCAAATGGAAGAAACACAAAACAACTGTCAGTCTCCCTAGGTCTGGTGCACCATGCAAGATCTCACCTCGTGGAGTGTCAATGATCATGAGAACAGTGAGGAATCATCCCAGAACTACACGAGGATCTTTTCAATGATCTCCAGGCAGCTGGGACCACAGTCAGCAAGAAAACAATTGGTAACACTACGCTGACAAGAATTGAAATCCTGCAGTGCCCGTAAGGTCCCGCTGCTCAAGAAAGCACATGTCCAGGCTCGTCTGAAGTTTGCCACTGAACATCTGAATGATGCAGAGGACGACTGGTGGAAAGTGTTGTGGTCAGATGAGACCAAAATGGAGCTCTTTGGCATCAACTCAACTCATCGTGTTTGGAGGAGGAGGAATGCTGCCTATGACCCCAAGAACACCATCCGAACTGTCAAAAATGGTGGTGGAAACATTTTGCTTTGGGGGTGTTTTTCTGCTAAGGGGACAGGACAACTGCACCGCATCAAAAGGGACGATGAACGGGGCAATGTACATTCAAATCTTGGGTGAGAACCTTCTTCCCTCAGCCAGGACATTGAAAATGAGTCGTGGATGGGTGTTCCAGAATGACAATGACCCAAAACACATGGCCAAGGCAACAAAGGAGTGGCTCAAGAAGAAGCACATTAAGGTCCTGGAGTGGCCTAGCCAGTCTCCAAACCTTAATCAGATTGAAAATCTGTGCAGGAAGCTGAAAGTTCGAGTTGCCAAATGTCAGCCACCAAACCTTAATGACTTGGAGAGGATCGGCCAAGAGGAGTGGGCCAAAATCCCTCCTGAGATGTGTGCAAACCTGGTGGCCAACTACAGGAAACGTCTGACCTCTGATTGCCAACAAGGGATTTGGCACCAAGTACTAAATCATGTTTTGTGAAGGGGATAAAATACTTATTTCCTTCACTGTACAAAAATCCCTCTACTTGATCCCACATAGGAATGCATGTATAGCCAACAGACCAATAACATAAGTAGCTCAGCTAAAATGCAAAGGGCTGGACTTTAGCAATTAGACTGGGGGAGGTGGGTAAAATCTCCTTAAAAGTATCTCAACAAACCATACCAAATTCTTCCTAAATATAATGCATGCCATACAAATCATACAATGACCATCTCAACAACCCTCACTACAGCCCAAAAGGTATGTATGACTGAAAGTATGCCAGGGTAGTTTCACAGGAAATATACCACCTACACATCAATCCACACAAACTCCATAAGCCAAATACAAAGCGCAAACACAACCATGAAAAATGTATGTTTTACACTAAAGTGAAGAGAAATCTAGGTTGGCGAGAGTTACATTTTTACATCAAAGAAAATGACAGCAGGCTATCCAGGAAGATTAAAAATCAAATCAAAATGTAAAACAGCTGACCAGCCACTGGTTTGTTCATTCAATATCAGAAACCTTTGGGGTAGAGCACAGTCAAATGTATTTTATCACATTTTAGCATTTACCTTCCAGTTGTCCTGAGGAAGCAGCTTCACAACCACCACATCGCCATTCAGTGCTCTGTTCCGGGGTTCTACGCCATCAATAAATATGTCTCTGAGACCATCCTGTACAAAAAAAAAAAAAAAAAAAAAAAAAAAAAAAAAAAAAAAACAGAAAATAAAATCAGTACTACATTAAAAGAAAATATTTTCAAACGGATATATTTTTTTCAGGATGGGTTTAAGTTACATAATGGAATTTAACACCATTTTGAGATAAAACCATTTAAAATTCCAGAATGATTTCCAAAAGCCCTCCTCCTAAAAATCCTTTTCCCATTACCCTCCCTGTAACTGATCGCACCTACCTAAATGCCCTTTTTCTTCACCTAAAAGCTGCAGTCCCTTTACATTGAGGATACAAGCATTCTCTCATCTCATTCCCATCCAGCGTGGTCCTACTTCAGGTATCGTTGTTGCTTGCGTAATGTGGACACTATTGGTAATAGCGACATTTTTACGAGAGGGCATGATAACATGGGGGCATGAAGGAACCAATCCCCAAGGCAGGAAATAAGGTTTTCTACAGAGGACACTCTTTGAGAGAGTATACTGCAGTATGGATTATGAACAGGTGTTTGTAAGCCTTGCAGGTGATAACCTATGCACAATTGCAATTTGATTTTTGGCTGGAAGTTGGCTTTTATGTTACCCATTCAGTCATATTTCCTTCTGCAAGTTATGTATTCATTAAGGGTAGTGTTTTTACATTCACTGACCTAGAATAACTGTGCGATATTGATTTTCTATTTAAGATTAGACTCAAGTGTTTGCAGTATGTGAAAGCACAACTGTCAAGCGTCACCAAGTAACTTCCTTTAACAGTTCATTCAACGGTCACTGGCAGATATACAAGTCATTCACAACTCACTATTGCAGAGTTAATCATTTGTAGGTGCAACATTTCATCAGGAGGCCACAAGAGTTTGGAGTAAGGACCCTTTTACACAGGCAATTAAAATTCAGCTTTTAGCTGAGGATAGTGTGCCAGATATGGGGTCAAGATGTAGAAGGCCTGTGAGAGCACAACAGGCTATACTTATAAGTTTTGGATTTACGTGGAGCCCCCCGGATGCCCAGACTACATGGGGAGCAGCGGCAAGATAGTTTGGGACTTGGTGTCATCCTTTTTCCATATGGGGTACCACTTATACGTGAACAATTTTTATTCAAGCGTGCCACTAAACATTTGTTCAATCTTGGAACTGGCGCATGTGGCACAGTGTGACCTAATGTGTGCCCACCATTAGAAGTGTGTGGATGCAGAGTGGTATATTCTAATGGTGGGCATACCACACACTTTTTCTGGCAGAGATTTCTTCTAATTTTTTCATTCGGTCCACAGGCTGCATACGAAAAAAAAATAACATAGCATATACACCCAACAAGGATCAGCGATGTACTGATACATCACTGGACTTTGAATGGTTATACCAGGATGATGCCTACAGCTGCAGGCAGCATCCTGGTATCATTTTTTTTCAGCCAGCGATCGCTTTCATGTAAAAGCAATCCTAGTGGCTAGTTAGCTGCAGGATTTCTTTTAAAAGCAGTGTGAGATGATGCCCCACCCCTCCCCCGCTGCCTTCCACGGCCTTCTCTGGCAGTCCCGTGCTATTGGGGGAACCTGAGAATGCAGCCGGTGTTTCTGCCAGCTGATCATAGAGCTGATTGGAGACCAGAGTGGTGCCAATCATCTCTATAGTCCTAAGAATTCGGAAGCTACAAGCATTTCATCACTTCCGTTTCGCAGGATATAAACAGCGCCATTTGTAAATTGGGAAAGCATCTGATCACACAGATTTTGGTTTGATTAGATAATGTAAGGGCAGAGGAGATATCCAGAGTCTGACCCCAGATTTCTCAAAAAAGAATAAATGACAATGCCCATTGAGGTTAAAGGGGGTATTTGCATTAATGCACTAATTCAACTGATAATTGCGCGGTCATGCAATGCTGCACCCAAACAAAATTTACGTCCTTTTTTTCACAGAAATAGAGCTTTCTTTCCGTGGTATTTGATCACCTGTGCGCTTTTTATTTTTCATGCTATAAACAAAAAAAGACCAAAAATTTTGAAGAAAAACGATATTTTTTTACTTTCAATATAAAAAAATATATAGTAAACTCAAAGTTAGTTATAAATTTAGGCCAAAATGTATTTTGCTATATGTTTTTGGTAAAAAAAAAATCCCAATAAGTGTATATTGATTGCTTTGTGTGAAAGTTATAGCATTTACAAACTATGGTATAGGTACTACAATTTACACCTTTTTTTGCTATACAGAGCTGTGCTAGTTTAACGGACAATTGCGCGGTCATGCAATACGGTACATAAATGAAATGTGTCCTTTTTTTCACACTAATAGAGCGTTCTTTGAGAAATTGACTGCATGGTGGCCAGAAAAATTAATGAGGGAGTTATCAATGCAGATGTTTTGCTGGGGAGGAGTATAGACATCTGCAAATTTTTGGTTAATGTGATTTGCGAGGAGCTGAATTTTGTGGAGCCAGTCAAATTCAGGGTTACCCAGAGGATGAAAGAGTGCATTGTCATTGAAATGCATAAAACACATTATACTCTCATATCTATGCCTGGCCATGGCAGCAGAGAACACGGGCATATGATGAATTGGGTCTGCAGACCAATACAACCGCAATTCATTTTTTTTTTTTAGTAATGCCCATGTTGAGGGTTAGGACCAAAAAAAATTTTAATTCGAAAACCGTAATGAGTTTCCATGCGAATGGTCTGGCAAGGTTTGAATTTGGGTTGGCGGCGATAAATTGTTGTGCATATAAAATTGCTTTGATCCACAATCAACGCATACAGATATTCCGTGAAAAATAGCTCCAAAAATCAAGGGGAGTAGTTACATTTGCTATTTCACCTGAATTCTGGGTTGGGCAGTAAATGGGGGAAGTACGGGTGCTGCAAAATTTGTGGGCTGTCAGTTGGGATTTGCAAGCACATCCGGAAGGATACTAGGAGCTCTACGGGCCTGTTTGCGAATTCTTTGCGGTTGCGGGACAATACTTGTGCTCGCCACCGCACCAGCTTGTACTGCACTTATGGGACTCACCATGTCGCCAAGTCATACTGCAGTGCTGGTATTATTATTATACAGGATTTATGGCGCCAACAGTTTGCTCAGCGCTACAATATAATGGGAGACAATACAGAACAATACAATTCAATATAAGAGGGTTAGGAGGGCCCTGATCTTGGGAGCTTACAATCTCAGAGGTATGTGAAAGACCAGGATGTACTAGGCCACTAGTAATCGCCAGTTCACCAAAAGAGCGCAGCACTAGTACTAGCACTAGTACTAGCACAGTGTGTAATATATCAAGTCACAGTGACCTACTGACACTGCACTTGCTGGGGGAGAAGGGGGGGGGGTAAGCGTACGGACTAAACGCAGGTGCTGGCAGGTGCCGGGGCTGATCCCGCTAACGCTGCATTTTTGGGGACACTATACTAATGTGAACGCTGGTATAGTGCTGATCTGATCAAAGATATTGATCCGTTCAGACACTATACTAGCAATGGAGGTTTATTGTGCATGAGCGTGTTCCTGGCAATCAAGGGGTTAAATGTGATGACTGGTGTACTGACTGGCAATCTGGGAGGGGCGGGAAAACCACGGGAGCGCAAATTATATATATTTGTGCACCCATGCCACCCTGTAGCAGTATTTCTGCTATAGGGCGGTCAGGAAGCGGGGACAGAAGCTGCTTGTGTTACATCGCTGCGTTACTTTAACTGACAATTGCACGGTCATGCAACAGTGCACCCAAATTAAATTTACGTCTTTTTTCCCCACAAATTGAGCTTTCTTTCGGTGGTATTTGAGCACCTGTGTATTTTTGATTTTTTGCACTATTAAAAAAAAAAAAAAAAATCCCAATACGTGTAAATTAATTTTAAAAAAAATATTGTCAGGTTGCAACCATAGAAATTCAGCTCCCAAGAAACACCCTAAACTTACAACTGGTATTGCTGATAATGTCATAAAAAAAAAAAAAAAAAAAAAAAAAAAAAAAAAAAAGCAGCTGATGTGTTAGTTTTGGGTTTTGTTTTTAGATGAGCATACTTCGTATTCTCATTCTATTTACAGTCAAATGTGGATAAGAGTCCAGTCAAGTTCCACCACCTGTTGAACATGCCGTCCTCATCAAGAGCCTGCTATTGCATTTTTTGATTGCCTCTGATGAATTAAACAGTTGCATACCTCAAAGTTCCTAACAAATTCCACAATATCTCAGACCCTAATGTAACACTGCTATATTATCAAGGTGGACTCTCCTGATAAGCTTAAGTAAAAGGTTATATACATGCGTATATATGTACATTGTTTCAGCTTGCAAGAAGCGATATCCATTTCCTAAATTTAAGCACTGGGGATTGTTTTTTAATTCACCAATGGCTCTAAAGTCACTGTCTGGCCCTAACTACTATGACTCTGCCCCAGCCATGACCCAGCCTTTTGCTGGACCCTCACCATATGTATCCTACGCATACCATCAGGTTTTCCAAGAATGCATAATCACCCAACTCCAAGCTATCCACCATCTTCTTTATTTTCCATTCTTAATCACCCATAGAGGTCGCCAGGAACCAAACCATTCGTCCCTACATTCCCCGTTTCCTGATGATATAAGGTAGCCCGAGAAAGTAAGCCAGTAGAGTTAGGGAAAGTAAGCAGTCTCTTTATTGGTGTCTTCAAAATAAGTAAAACACAAAGCTTTCTTCAGTCAAAAAGGAAAAAAAACAAACTGCATAAACCTAGTATCAAGCAAGGCTCAATGCCAAATTCTTGGTTCCACCCCTCCGGTCCCCTTCCAGCTGCCTTTCAAGACTCCATTTGCTAAGGCTTAGCGCCTTCAGGATCAGAATTCTTGCAGTCAGGGTTTGGAGGTTCTTCTCTTCCAAAGCACTTTGAACCTCCGAAGTTCTGTATCCTTAACACATCAACCAGGAGACTCCTCCCTACCATCCAAACCACCCCGGAAGCCGTCATCCTACGTCGGTGAGAACCCGTGAGTACTCAGCCTAGTCTTTAAACTGTCCCCCTTCAAAAGGGAACAATACTGGTGCAATATGCCTGCCGTCCAAGACACACCCAGTGTCCCATAAACTGTATGAAAATTTTTAAAATAAACTTTCATTTACTCGCTGTTATTTAAATAACTATTTATTAGGGGCATATACTGTCAAATAACTATCCTTTTATGAAGTATCCAAATTCTTGCTAATTATCCTCTCCCTACTAAAAGACAGGCACTCTTCATGCAACTGAACTTTGTACACTGCATGGGGTCACTGCTTGAAGTTTACAATCGCTATCTCCCCTTTGTACCCTCTGCTCCACACACAACCCATGTTGTCAATAGTTTTCAGCACACAAAAAAAACTGAAATGATCACAATTGGATGAATGACGGTATGTCTCCCCTATTCACAAAACCTTTTTAATTTTGCTAAGCCAGCTCCTGAAGTTTTTGTTCATTGAGTATGGGGCAGGAAGCATGGTTACCCATAAATTCAACTTCAACACAGGCAACTTAAAGCGGTAGTAAACATCAAAAAAAGAAAAAAAAAAAATGAAAAAAAAAAAAGTGGGTCCCTACAGGATAATGTCATATTGTGCTAGTATGAGATGCATGTATTATGACAGACTCCCATTAAAACAAAGCCCTCCAATGGGCATGCTGTCACTACTGGGCTTCCATTTTCACCAGGTCTTACAGGCTCTGGCTGTTTGAATGGCTGATTCACAATGATATCTACTGAGAGCACAATGCAGATGTGTAGATGACGTCACAGGCTGCTACTAAAGTAAATATCTCCAAAACAGGGCACATTTAGGAGATATTTACTGTACCTATTGACAAGGCGTAACTGTAGGTATAAATAAAGCGGAGTTTACTACCTCTTAAATGGCACATCATCATTGGAGGGACAACAGCACTCATGATGATGGACACTTAAGTGTAATTGTGGATCTCAGAGCCAAAAAGGTGGTTAAAAAAAAAAAAAATCCACCAATATATGTGCCCACTGTGAACACAGTATATAGCACCCATCAGAGGTGTAACTAGAATCTTCAGGACCCTGGTGCAAAAAAAAAAAAAAAAAAAAACCATGAAAGTCCCTTTACTGCCGCCTCAGGGCCCTTTATTATGGTTCTGCAGCAGGACCCTTTCACGTGTTCTGCAGCGGGCCCCCTTGCTGTCCTTACATTAGAATCCCTCCATACAGTACAACAGAGTCCACAGGGTTTGTCTTACAGTGCAAGTGGGAACTCTACAGACCCCGATGTAAAGGAGAACTTTACATCGATAAGTTTTATCACCAGAGCTCCCCCTTACATCAGAATTTGCAGAGATCCTCCATACCTCGAAGTCCACAGAGTTCCCCTTGCACTGTAAGTGGGTTGTGTGTGGAGCAGAGGGTAAAAAGGAGAGATAGCGATTGTGAACTTCAAGCAGTGACCCCATGCAGTGTACAAAGTTCAGTTGTGTGAAGAGTGCCTGTCTTTTAGTAGGGAGAGGATAACTAACAGTCAGCAAGAATTTGGATACTTCATAAAAGGATAGTCATTTGACAGTATATGCCCCTAATAGTTGGCAATAGGTAACCCTTTAGATTGTAAGCTCCATGAGCAGGGCCCTCACATTCCTTCTGTACTGAAATGTATTGTAATTGTACTGTCTACCTTATATTGTAAAGCACTGCGCAAACTGTTGGCACTATATAAATCCTGTATATTAATAACTCTGCTGATTCTGATGTTATGGGAGAATGTTGATAACTCTGGTGTAAGAAATTCTCTGGTCACCAGAGCCCCTCCTTACATCAGAGTTCCCGTTTACACAAGAGTCTGCAACATACCATCTTACATTACAGTTTGGAGAGTGAATACACGAAGGTAAAGAGCTTCACTTATGTAAGAGGGACCTTTATATCAGTGTTCTCCCTTATCTTGGGGTCTCCATTTACCCTTTACATCACTGACCCCCAATAAAGTGACTGACTGCCCCACAAACTCCTGTGTGGCCTGGAGCTGTCAAACACTGCCCTGTAATTACCTGCAGACTTCAGTCCTCTTCTCCCCCCCTTGCAGATGTTTTCAAAGTTGCTGGAAAGGTGCCAAGTGCCATGATGTCACTGCGCATTTGACCATTAACCCCCCCCCCCCCCCGCCCAAGCCAATCCCAAGCCGAACTCAGCCAGCCCTAGAATGCCACACATGCAGCTCTGGAGCAAACCAATTATTAACTGCCTGAGCTCAACTCAAGCTGGGGGTGGTCTGCTGGTCGGGGACGCAAGAGGGAGAGGAAGCTCAGGGTCAAGGGTAGTTTTAATGGGCACTTTTCTGCTGTTTATGGACAGTAAAAAAGTGCCCTTTACTGGCAACACTCAGGTAGGGCCTGAGGAGGTAGGCTGATAAAGAAAATGCTTCCTCGACTAAAACAACTAAAAGCAATCAGGCCCAGAAAAGCCAGGCAGAGTTCTTGACTGTGGTACATCAAGGTCCCCATAATGAAACCGATGACCAAATCACAAAATTATCTCCAGAAATTCCATATTATCAAACATCTGGTTCACAACCCTCTCTGGCATGTTTACATGAAGCATGCAAGACCACCTGCCTGTTCTATTTTCTTAAGTCCAGAGGGGTACTTGTGGTATATACCACACCATGCATATGTACAATTCGTATTGGATATCCAGGCAGAGGGTCTACAAAAAGACTAACAAGTAGACAAGTGTGTCCACTGGATTTACAGAACAGGATCACAATTCATTCATACCAAGAAATTGTATGGGTGAGGAAACTAGACCGGGGTTATTTTCCAACCTGATGAAGCTAGGTATACAAAAGGATAAAGCCTGGGGGGGTGGGTTGTGGTGAGAATTAACCACTTAACCTCCAAAAGGTTTTACCCCATTCATGACCATGGCAATCTTTTGCTAATTAGCACTCAACTACTTTACCTGGCAATTGCTTGGTCATGCAACACTGTACCTAAAAGACATTTTTATCACACAAATTGAGCTCTTTTTGTGGTAATCACCACTGCGTTTTTTTATTTTTTTTTCTAATTTTTGCTATACAAATTAAAAAATACCACATAATTGCTTATAACAGTGATGATCGCTGTTACAAGCAGTAATTTTGCTGTCAATGGCACCTAAAAACGTTGAGCAATTCTGCTTTGACTTTCCCATGATAAATCATGCAACACTTGTCGGAACTTTTTGGGCATCATACTTTGCATGATTTGGTTTGTGTGGTGGCAGCGCGATTTGCTGGGTGACCATCACAGCAGAATTGCCCTGTATTTTAGGTTCCATTGAAATTAATGGCATCTGAACACGATGATGTGCGATTTGACATTTTAACAACGCGTTCTGAA